AACATCACCTCCGAGTGCAAACAATTTGGCTGAACAAGATGATTTTGGCTCTCACAGGACACAGGGAACACTAAAGGCAACACCACCCTTTGGCACACTGCTGGTAAAGAATCAGCCTTTTGCCTGTCACAATTATTTGACTGACAGTCAAACCTCACGCTGTGCAGGTACATTTAACCCAGGAGGAGCCTCACCCTGATAAAGCCCTCAGAGACCTCGTGCAACACAGGTGGTGACAGCATGTCACCATGTTCATTCTCATGCTGCCACATGCACACATGAAAACATTGCCCCAAACTAAGCAGAATTAGAGTAAGATCAACATCCAGTTTCAGATCTGTTGTAGCCCAAGGGTAAAATGAAGAGAAGGTAAAGAAAGAACAAGAAAGCTTTCGTTTTCCAACCTTCTTGGTTTCCTCAAACATCAGCTCCATCAAAATACTCTTTTATTGCCCACAAGAATTAATTTTAATGTGAAAATTCTTTATTAACCCTACAGCATGATGTGTCTCACTGGCAGAAATTCATGTGACAAAGATTTTGGCCAAAATCTCTCATCTAATACAGCCTAAATGTACAAGTGTAAATGCTCTTCAGGGTAAGATTTCTTAACCCAACCCTTAAAACTCTCAAGTTAACTTCACAGTTAGTTTTAAGCATGTAAATGGTTGTGTATATCCCACTTTTGGCTGCTTTATTGATTAAGGGTAGTTATTTAGTGGAGTTACATTCTCCTAGTACACATGATAATATTCAGTTTTTATTCCAGGGATACCTTACAAAAAATCCCATAGTCCTTCCCAGTATAAAACTGTGTCAGAGCAGCTGAACTCTGCTGGGAGCACTGGCATTCCTTGCCACTTATTTGCCCAAGAGCATTAAATAACCAGAAATAAAATATACCAGGGTGCTGAAACAGGCAGCAGTGACCATCACAGCTCATTCTGCAACACTCCTCCCTACAAGCAGCAATAAAAGATAATCTATTATCGCTGATGGTATGAATTAGAGCATCTTCCATTGGAAAACTTTCAAGCTGCGAGACTGAGAGTGTCACAAGCTGCCTCCTGGTATATTATATGTAACAGCATGCCATAAATAGGGAAAGCATGGGAATGCTTCTGCAGGTACACAGGAAGTCGATACACGGCATGTCCGAGAG